ATTGGGCGTCAAGATGTGCGGGAAAGGGGAATTAAAGAAGGGATAAAAAATTTTGTCAGAAGGCGGAAGGGGCCCTGGGAGAGAGGAAAGCGGGCGAGAACACTGGCGGCAGAGAGGCGTGATTTTTATTTCCACCGCCCCGTGTTCCTCCATGAGAGTGAAAGACCAGAAATATACCCCTTAGGGCGAACCGGATAATTCTCATTGGGATTTGGAGGCTGTTTTTGCTGTTTCCAAAAACATAGAAAATCGTGGGCTGTTAAAAATAATTCAAATTATTTTATTGAGCCCCTTCAAGGATTTGCTTAACTTTTGAGAAAGAATACGGAACCTTTGGGAGAAGGGGGGACCGCGGCGGGACATAGGTACAAGGGGGAATTCGGGGAAATTGGGACGGAGGGGAAACGTGAAGGTATAGCAAAAAACCAAAACCAAAAAAAAAAAAAAAAAAAAAAAAAAAAAAAAAAAAAAAAGGGACGAGGGAGCTCGATCTGATCAGCCCAGCCACCAAGTTCGCTGGTTCATGTACATCCAGTCCGCCATGCCTCCAAACGTCTCCGCGTCTGGCTAAAACCATCAACAGCTCTAGAACATCCCCTCTTTGGGCAACTTTCCCATGCTATATACCTTCCTCCTCATCGGTTTCCAGAGGCAAGCATCCCAGCTAAGACGCCAGCTCCAATAATGCCACCATCCGACGCCTCCCGGAGAAACACCGACTTGCCACTCTCCTGCGGTCCATCCCAAATCACCAACCTGTCAATGAATTGCTGACACGTCTCCTTGAAACGCGGGTACCGCTGAATAATGCCACCGGTATATGCGACAACTAGTTCCTCCGGCCCAGATTGCCAGTTAGACGGCACGGACTCGACGATAGGAACAATGTGGCCGTCGTTGCCAGCCTTAGCAGCAGCTGCAGCACTATGGGCAGCTAGTTTAGAGTTTACTGCGTGTACAATATCATTTGGGGAGGCTCCATTATTAACGGATGAAGCCATGAAGTTTGGGTGTTGGCGCGGAGTTGGGTCGTTGTAATCGCGGAGCTTGAGTTCCCCCTTGCATGCGAGCAGGCCAATGACAGCAGCAGCGATTAACCCTGCAGACCTGGTCTGGACAGCCTGGGCGACCTTCCTAAATGCCCGTGCGGAATTGAGATCCCAGCTCCAATCGCTGGATTCGGGTGGAGGCAAGGTCTCTGTCAGATACCGGACCAGCTCGAGGTCGGACTGTATTTGGGCAACAGATGATGATAGGTACGTGGTGGTGAGGGCATATTCCTGGATAAGGTTCGCTGGTAGTTCCCTCTTTGAGAGCCCAACAAAGTTGGTGAGGTAATCGTAAAATATAATCCGGACCAATTCGCCAATATAGCGGCCGCCAGTCATGTACTCGAAAGGTTGGAAGCCAGGTCTAGCACAGGCCTCGTCTAATATGGTATCCCATTTCGTGGTGATGTTCAGCTCACGGAGAGGGGGCGCAGCACCGTTAATGGTCCATTCAGTGTTAATTATAGTTTCCACAGCGTCCGGATGTCGCGATGAAACGTGCCTTGCCTTAGACTCGTGCAGGTCCTTCAAACTCATGGGGATCGTGGCATTGCAACCAGTTCCGACAATTATACCCATCGCAACACGGCTGTTTGGTAGGGACTTCACCAGATAAGCCAGCGATGCTAATGTAGCAACTGTATCGTTAGTGATTGCCGCGATCTTTAGTTTTGGCAACGCAAAACGTTTCCGTCGCTTCGCTGACTGCTCTTCCTCTTCCAGCGGCCGTCTCGTATGCCTGTCATAGCCTGCCAACAAAATACCGCCTAAATCAAGATTTGAAGTTATAGCAAAACCTTTTCCCATTGGCATAAGCCGCGCTTCAGAGAGTGACTCTTGCCTAGTCGTGGTTAGTATTGAATCAAGTCATTGTTCCCAGAGTGGGGCAGCGTCGCATCCAACTCTGCAAGAAGATCATCAATCGAAAGGAAAATATATGGGAAATCTATACAAACAGCACTTACATCATTGGAAAACTGAACGTGATTCCCATTTCGAGTTCTGCGGGGATAGGGGTCCCATTGGCCAAATTCGGGGCTAAGCTGTCCGCTACCACTTCTGCTATGCAATCTCCAATCCACAAAAACAAATCTTCGGCTTTGTCCTGCTTCAGATGTTCCCCTATAGGCCCATATCTTTTCTAACGTCCGATTCACGCGCTGCCTCTGCGCTCTCTTCATAGTATCGCGTGATGTCGGAGAATTGGAGTTCGTGACGTCACTATCCTTCGACTCGCCCAGTAGCTCAATAAATGCCACTCTAAAATTGGTTCCCCCAACATCGATCGCCAAATACTTCCCAGTTTCCTGACCAGTCGGTAACCTCGTTACTGGGGTGGGTAGAAATTGCTGGTCTGATGTCAGTGCAAGGTGGCGGTATATATGTCGGAAGCGACAGGCGAGTTCATGGAGAGTGCTGTCGGACACCATGAGAGGCCGCAGGAATCTGTGGATGGTGTCGTCGTGGTGTAGTTCGCCGGTATAACCATTATCCATTCCCTGGTCAGTGTAATTGCCATCGTACGACTCTGAATCCAGGCCATGATCAAGGTCATCCATAGCACTATGTTGCGACATCTCACAATCGCAACGTTGAAAATTGTATGGAACGGATGACAATATTGTCGTAGGTAGGGCCTTTGATCAAGCGATATATGTCCAGCAATGAAGGAGGAGAGGTGGAATCCGGAAAAATAGAAGGCGGGGGTTGTTGCAACTTATTGCAAGTTATTGTAACGAGGGGATTGACGGGCGCGAGTCCGGGAGTTTGGGGAAACGCAATAAAGTGTTCCACAGCAGAAACAGGCTTGAATTGCAAGTGACGCGGATGTAAATCTCCAGACCGACAATGAGCGAAAAGGATTGATGGGGCCCGGGCGGGGTTGAGAGAATTGTGGCTGTCGAGGCAGTGTGTTTACACTTCTGACGGAGGGGCGTTTTTGACTTGGTCGAACTCTGGCTGATAAGGAGATCAAACAGCGAGGACAGGTGGTATTTAATGCGGATACGGAACATCGACGTGAAACGATCGTTTTCTATCCGTTTAGGAAGCATGAATGGCAGACCCGGAGGGAATCAGTCCGGCGGATACGACCCTTGCAAGAGATGGGGAATGGCAACTTTCTACACCGATGTGACCCTGTGGAGGCAGATGGGGCGCCCTCACTCACACACCAGACCGA